AAGTTAGTGTGTAGCTGGAAGAGAGTTAGGAGAAAACAATTGGTATTTTGTAGTTATCTGTCATCTCATCTATTCTTGAAATTGGAGCAAATTCGTCGCACTGTTGGTAACAGAATACTTTTGGCTGGCTGCAACTACCCCTCTGGTCTGCATAACAACCATCCATCTTATAAGGTACTGATTTTCTTTTGCATATATGCTTTTTCTTCAAGTATATTTTATAGTCAATGTATTTGGACGATGAGTCAATCAGAGATGGTGTTTGGCTACTTACCACTGCCCTGCGCGCTTCCAATTCTGGATGGAAGCCAGTCGATGATGCACGAAAATTAGGCTTGATTAGGACCTTGTTTGGGGTGATCATACTTACTCATGAGCTCGGTCATACTGGAAGGTATCATTGCATTGTCAACATAAGCTTCATGGCTATTTTATGTGCGTCTCAGGTTCGAGACTGCTTTGAATGCCCTCAAGACGTTGTGGTTATGCTCATGCCTTCCTAAAGTACAACTGGAATTTTGTGAACCCATGCGTTTACCGAATGGTAACGACTCCGATGGAATCCAGTAAGTAATCATTACCAGCTCATGCTGCATTTTCGCTTACATCAGTTGAACTTATCAAGTTTTGGATATTCCTCTAGTCTTTATTGCCTTTTCATGATTTTATGCATCCTATTGATTGAAAAGTGCTCATTTAGGATCTTGATGGAGATCATAGGCAATGTCATTCTCAATGATGCGGACATAAAGATAGCCGCCCTCAACGTCTTGATCAACTGCATCTCAGTTCCGGAAGAAATGACCAAAGTAACTAACATCTCCTTATTTTCTTAAGTCAGGTATTCCCTTACAGTCGCGAAATGAGAGCACCGACAAGAAGGAGAAGGACAAGGACGGAAGACGCAGTAGAAGCGCCTTCAGCAATTTTCAGATGAAAGAGCATTGCGAAAAAATTTGGGCAACCACTCGAAAGTATAATGGAATCAATGTTAGGTTCTATATTCATCATAGCATCTGTCATATGCACTAGTTTTGCAGATACTTCTTACTGCTGTCCGCGTCAATAGCCCCATAGCCGACGCCGACCAAACACGTGCTCTAGCCTGCCGCGCCCTGCGAGAATTTTCTAAGTGGGAGCCCATTCGACAGATCCTTTCAAAGCTCCCGTTTATCACAGGCAACGAATTACAAGGTGGGCTGCCATAATCTGTTATGACAATCAGAAATAAGCTTGAATATTTAGCACTTATGCGACAACCTGTGATGCTAGAGAAACGATCTGAGCATTTGAAATTCTGTGAGGAAGCGAGACAATTGATTGAGACTGTCACCCAACGGCCAATGATAGATCAGTTAGCGAATCCGAAAGATCTTTCACAGGTTCATTATTATCTCGGTGTGCTTCATATCTGTGATTGTTGTATAGGATCGTTTATGGAAATCCCATGTGATAGCAAATACGCGAGTTTCTTACAACGAAAAGGAGCTCCTACAGTTGATTCATGATCATCTTGTAAGGAAAGGCCTTCATGCAACTGCTTCACAATTGGTAACAGAGGCCGAACTGCCCGATGTGCCTGCCAGTAGAGCTCCGACCACACCTGCCAGATTAC